CAACACACAGAAATATTAGTTTTTTCCTCTGTTGTTGAAGATAGATAGATAGATAGATAGATAGATAGATGGATAGATAGATAGATAGATAGATAGATGGATGGATAGATAGGAAGATAGATAGATAGATGGATGGATAGATAGGAAGATAGATAGATAGATGGATGGATAGATAGGAAGATAGATAGATGGATAGATAGATAGATAGATAGATAGATAGATGGATAGATATATAGATAGATAGATAGATAGATGGATGGATAGATAGGAAGATAGATAGATAGATGGATGGATAGATAGGAAGATAGATAGATAGATGGATGGATATATCTTCTTGACTCTGGAAACACAGTCCTCTCTCCCTCTCTCTCTCTCTCTCTCTCTCTCTCTCTCTCTCTCTCTCTCTCTCTCTCTCTCTCAGGATTACTTCCTGTCAGCAGTGTGACAGCTGTGTACATCTGGCTGTGTCGGGCCTCTTACAGCTCCATCCACACGTCGTCCCGCCGGTGTCTGGGCCCCCGGACTCGCTGCCACTGCTCACCTCATTACCGAGCGAACCACACCTCCATCTGTCCGAGTAATATCTAAATCCTGCTGCAGATTAGCGGGGAGTCATGGGGGAGGAGGGCAGAGGGAGAGGAAGAAACAGGATCCTGGAGGTAGGGTTCATTAAGGATCTCTGGGGCTGTGCTGTGGCGGCTGCTTTCGGGGTTTGTGGAGAGCGGTGGCATGTCGGGGGCTTGTGTCTACTACTGTACTCTGTGCATGTGTGTTGAGGGAGAGAGAAGCGGAGAGGGTGGTGTCATGCGATCATATAATCCCTCCATGATGATCTAAAATGTCACGAAAGCGTTCGTTTTAATGCCCAAAGACTATTCAAGAGCCCCTGTTATGCTTTTATTTGTTTTCCCTTTCCTGTAGTGTGTAATATGTAGGTTTTTGTGCATGTAAATGGCCTGCAAAGGAAAAACATCCCTGTGTTTCCTCCAGAGGGAGTTTCTCTTCCACTCTCCGTCTGCATGAAACGCCTAACCCTAACCCAAATAGGGAGGTGTGTGGCGCAGTGGACTAGTGCGTTGGTGTTCAGATCAGGGGCACAGGTTCAAACCCCACTGCAGTCAGCATGACGTTGTGTCCCTGAGACACTTCACCGCAAATTGCTCCTGTGGGGATTGCCCACAGTATTGAGTATGTTAGTCTCTTTGGATAAAAGCGTCTAACAAGTGACATGTAATGTAATAGTGACATCACTAGGTAACACTTGCGTTTCTATTGGCTGGCGCTCCAACACATTGTTCGTGATAGGCTAAGGGCCATGAACTCCACTAAGTGGTTGACCTATGACAACAGAGCCGGCCAGCTAACCAATCAGAGCAGACTGGGCTCTGGTTTCAGACAGAGGGTGAAAAGAGGTGCTGCAGCACAGGCAGTATGAGAAATATAAAGAGCTTTTTGAACATTAAAGCATGGAGACATGTCACAGGAGACACTATATACTGATATGAAGCTGAAAATGAGCAAAATAGGTCGTCTTTAAAACTTATCAGTGAGCTGACATGTTGTCTTCATTATGGTGAACATAATGTGTGAAACATCTCTCCCTTCCCTTCTTCACAACTGCTACTGCTGATGGACATCACATGGTTTTTAGAATAGCACAGTTCTTATCATCCAGACAGATTTTAAAGTTATCAGCCAACTCAAGAACACACTGTAATGACAAGTGAGGAATGTGTGTAGGCTACACAGAGATGAGGCAGGAAGGAGATAGACAAAAGAAGCTGTGAGACTCTGATATTTATAAAACATGTAGGCATGACAATTATCTGTTACTGTCAGAGTAAATGCTCTAATGGTGATCATCTTGTGCCGGCGTTGCAGATGTTCAGGATATTTGGTACCATAGTGCCATCTGGTGTTGAAAATAGCATTTTTTTAAACCTTATTTTTAGAGATTTTTTTATAATATTATATGATTATTTAATTTGGTAGTGAGTTCCAAACACCAACATTATTTAGGAATATCTACCGAATCGAAATCACATTTGAAAAAATTATAAGTTCTACGTTTTTATTTTAAAGTGCATATACTCTAATGGCATTTTAATATACTTATGTTAGTTAGAGTTGTTTTTTTCCTATGTTTGGCCTTTTTGACGTTTGCATTTCTTTTGTTGTTACAGGAACATTTACCACCACAGAATTAATAAAGAAATAAATACAAGTTAAATTCCAAAGGTTTATACCTAAGAATGCATTTTAATGTATTTCTGTTGTTAGTTATAGTTGTTTTTTGTTATGTTTGACCTTTCTTTACAATTCAATGCCTACACACAGATATGTTCATATGTTGTCCAAGGACCTTTTCTTATAAAAAGACAAAACAAAAATAACGCCCAGCAGCGCCGAAAACCCAAACCTCTTATACTTCTTCTCCGTTTGTTTTGTCTTTGACACAATTGTTGATGAAATGGTCCAAGATAGGCCGTGGGAAATAAAAATAAACAAATGAAATGTCTGGGCTAAGCCTACAAACCACAAAAGACTACATATCCCAGTGGCACTTGGGGTCTTGCTGTTGAAAGGTCGTGTCGCCTTAGTGAGGTAATAACAAACATGGCGGCGCTCGGTACAGCACGGTGCTTATTTCGGAGATACTCCTGGGTGAAAAATGTCCAAAAAAGCGAGCAAATGTTGGTCAAATGTACCGCCAGGACGCTTTGTAGCGGAACACAAGATAACGGTATGTTTTAATGTAACTGAGACGATTATATGTGCTTTATTTTCTTCACTAAAACACTGACCTTGTGGCGTGTTTCGTTAGCTTCGATACTTCCAGTGTCAAACTCGCTTAACGAATCAGACAGTTTAAGATAGCCTACTGTTTTTGGCAAAGGTTTAACGCGTAGAAGGGTTTTTAATGTATTTTCAAAGAAGTATGAATTAATATCTATGTATTCGGCAATACTTTAGTTGCTATAGTGTTAATAGCTTTGCAGTAAAGTCTGATATGAATGGTTCATGTGCTAGCTGTCCATTGCGTTACCATGACATTACAACCGTTAACAACCGTTAATTTCAACGATGGATGATTTAATTATTTCCAAGGCCTTATCGTCATATGCACAGTTGGTACAGTGTAGACATGGCAATGAACATTTTAAGTCCCAGGCTCCTCCAACAATATATATATGACATTACAAAAGAATAATGGAAGTGACCAAGTAAATGCAGGAGTCTACAGTATATACATGTCAATAGAATAAGAGGAACAAGAACAGAGTGTAAAATGAAATACGGCACAATGGAATAAATACTGCTTATTGTAGAATTAAATAAATGTATGGGATGCAAACAGATCAATGCTATGTTGTAATGAATGCACTTTACAGAGCTCAGCTGTTCTTCCTGCCTGTGGGATAAAACTGTCCCACAGTCTCATAGTCTTTGTCCAGTATGGGCGGCAGAAACTGTGGAGAAATGAACCATGAAAGTTGACTTTACATCACAATTGTTGTTGCAAATTGTATTGAAATGAACATTTAAAAAAATCTTCTGATTAACCATCTTTTGTCAATATGGAAGAGGCCTATCGCTGAAGGAGCTGAACAGTGTCGACAGCAAACTCTGTAAACCACATGTGTCCAACTCAAGGCCCGGGGGCCAAATCAGGCCCTTGGTGGATTTAATTTCGGCCCGCAGGATAATTTCTAATTACTATTAGATCTGGCCCACCGGTATATTGCACGCACACCTTCACTCCATCCTGAGGGTCTCCTCAGCTCAGAGCCTGAGCCCAAACATTGATGACCTTGCACCCAAGATGAGATGCTAAGTATCTGAGCTAGCATCACAGAGCAGCAACCTGAGTTTAATGGATGTTTCCTTCTGCACTTTCTCTCTCAGGACAACAGGGCATGTTTGGTTTGTTCTGTGAGGGAAATAGTTTTTGTTGAAGCTGTTGTTGGCCTGTGGAAAAATGTAATCATAAGAAATGACTCTGGAAAAGCTGCAGATAATTTAAGCTTTGTTAGTTCCAGGTTTAATATGTGCAATACGTTCATTTCAATACGTTTTGCACTAAACATTGAACCAGTCCGGCCCTCGACTAGTACCCATTTTTAAAATGTTGGCCCACTGTGTATTTGAGTTGGACACCCCTGATGTAAATCTATATGTTGCATTTGGTGCTTGATTTGTGTAACTTTCTCCACAGCCCTCTCAGACAACACAAAGCCCCAGTTCACAGATGCAGCCGTGCAGGACCTCCTGACCAGGATAACAGGCCTGGACCTGGAGAAAGTCTTCCGGCCCATCAAACAGGAGCTGAAGCCGCCAACATATAAACTCATGACTGACGAGCAACTGGAGGAGGTGCCTTTTTAAATAAATCATAACGTCCTCTGTCAATCTCTCTCAGGCACAAGTAACAGTCACACATGTGCTTATGTATTTGTTTATTCCACACATGGCAGTTATTTTAAAACAAAA